CCGAGCTCAGCTTTCCTGCTCTCATCAACAAGCTCGAGCCCGCGCGAGTCCTCCCAGCCTCGTATTTATCTTCCTCATTTGCATTTCCGATCCATTCCTAGTGTCCAACTCGCCTTTTTTTGCTTCTCACCTACGTGAAGTAGCGTCAAAAGCCCAGACGCGTAGCAAGGCCGAGCCAAAGACACTAGCCAAGAAGACCTCATGACTTCCCGATCATTGTCCAACATGTGCGCGCTCCTCGTTCTCCTCTCCATCGCCCTCCTGATTATCGTCGCGCTCATCCCGACCGTCCATTCCCGCGGGTTGGCATCCTCGGTCTACGACACCGCGTCACGCGGCGGCGAAAGCGGCGGCATTCCCACACACGTCCTCTTTTCGAGATTGAGAAGAGGCCTGTCGGCCGAGGTTCCACGCACGCCCATCCACGTCGTTTTTCAAGGCACGTGGGATGTTGCTGACGTGGCTCTCGTTCAATATTTCATCAGCGCGCTGCCAGCGCGCGGCTACGAATCGCAGGTAAATAAAAGAGTTCTTGATGTCATCCGATTCTCCCCTGAACTAGTATCTGCGTCGTCGTTTTCTCTTCGGCTCCCTCTTCTATTTTCTGCTCATTTCACTCGCGTCTTTAGCTCGTGGTCTCACTTGTCGCACGTATTGCTGCATCCTGTGTGTGCCACCATTCTCACGCTGCAAAGCTCCTTCGTATGCGATCTTCCTTGCAAATCATTAACCATATCGTTCACCACCATTCTCCACCGTTTATTTGGGTGCAGACTCAGCTGGGATCCGTAGCTGTCGACAATAACCACTACGGCGACAACTCAGCTGAAGGTAACAATCGCAACCCCGTCGTTTTAGCAATGTCGCAAATTTCGATTTTGCATACCTTGAGACTAATCTAGGTTTCCATGTTCTTGCTTTCCGCTCTGGTCGTCCGTTCTGTATCCAGCCGTCCAGCACCAGATCGACATCGGCGCGCTTCCATACGACCGCGCCGCGCTCTACCTGCTGGTCACCAGCGGCGACGTTGCAGTAACCATCGGAGGCGAAACATTCTGCAAAGACTACTGCAGCAAGCAGTCGACGCTCGAGCTGCGCGGACCCGATGAATCCGTCGCGGAAACCAAGTTCATCCACGCGGGTGACGTGTTCGCGCGCTGCCCTGACCGCTGAACCTTCCGCGGCGCTCTCGCAACGTAAGTGCTCCGCCAAGACTGCCCTCCCTTCGATAATTCCAACCCCCCCCTCCTTCCTGATCCCCCTGCCCCCCTATCCCATTTCTCTCTCACCCCCGTTTCCCTTCCCTCGCCATCAACCCCCCTCCTCCCATTCTGCTCCCCTATCTCGTAGCCCTCACCTGCCTGGTTTCAGTTTTTCACTCCGTCTTTTGCCCATCTTCTCCGTCTTTCGGTTCTGCTCCCCTGTCCCCTCATCTCTCTAATGGTAGTGTTTTTCCTCCTCGCTCCCCCGTTTCTGTCACTCCTCCAGTCAGCCCAAACCCCTCCGCCACCTTCTTCGCCACCTTGGCTCGGCGATTACAAAGTCTGTTTACCGACCTGCTGCCGAGCCCCTCACCACATCCGAATACCCCGACCGTGAGCCCCTGCCTCCAGCCACGGTTACCGAGCCATCTGCTTCCGGTTCGGCAGCGGAGCAAGGGAAGGAGGGGAACATCACTGCTGCCCTCGTAACAACCGCCAAGATATGTGCCGCATTCCTAGCAGATGCCTTCATCAATGCTGTTACGTATGGAAGCAACTCCTCAGGTGTTCCTTCAGATGCCCTGACTAGCGACATCTCAACATGTGCAGCTGCTTCTGTGGGAGCTATGGTCGTGCCTTCGACTGTTGCTGGCTGGGCTAAGTAAAATATCTAAACACAGGAGGCCCTGCAACTGTTTTAGGTTACACGTTACACCACCACTCTGTAAATACTGCGGAGCTGGTAAGTGGTTAGAGCTGGAAGCAGCCCTGAGAAGGAAATTCGAAAGCACATGAAGGGGAGGTTTGTGCCGCCTGACGCTTTTAGCCCAAAACTAGGTACCTGCTCAGTATTTAGATACACCTCATTGTTTTGCTCCTTCAATCAAGAAGGGAGTTGAAGTCCTCCGAGCAAATTTACTGTGACATTGGTTGTGATCATGTTTATCTAGTCAAGCACGATATATCAGTGAGTTACGTCCCAAAGAATAGCACTACATCAAGGAAGGCACACAGAAGCGGTAAACATGATGTCAGGTGGGCTTGCCCCCTAGCATCCAGATAGCTTATAGCTGCTGAGAGCGTGTGGGTGGAGTAAATCTGGAGACCCGTTTGTTCAATAACTCGATGGATGGTGCTAGTTGGGGTGTTGGTGTAGTTTCGGTTATGTGCTGGAATGGAGTGATCTGGATGTGAAACTAGTCAGCGCAAAATGATTTAGTTCTAACTAGTTGTGAACAGATAAGTTATGCAGAGTCGACACACTGTACGTGTACTAATGATCCCCACTGCATTCCAGCATTGAACACTGTTGACACCACAAGCCCTTCCCGTTGACCACGTCAGCCTCTTTACGACAACTATTGTGCCCCGTGGTATGCGCATGAACCTACGTTCGCAAACCAAACCAAATCCACGGACCTGCCTTATAAGATTGGGCACAAACCTTCACACAATGAACAATGAAGTATTTCCGCCAGGCCAAAAAGATTGCCAGCAACGGGTGCCCGCCAGCTTCACTCACGGGCAGAACAAAAGAAGATGGTTGAGAGCCAGCATTACGAAAGCAGTAACGGACACGTGAGTTCGTTGAGTTCCGTGCGATCTCGAATCCTTCCCATGCAAGCTTTTCACAGCTGTCGCGCATTGGTGACGAGGAAGCAAACAAGCTGCCGAGAAGTCATCGCCAATTCGCCCATCCGAGTCAGCCGAACAGCTGTGCTTGTCGTCAACGCCTGAAACTTCCCCGATTTTCCCAGCTAGTTTTGCCATCCTTCCAGGTAAGCAGAAAAGCTGCATTGACGATACAGCTCGCCAGCCAATCACGATCGCCTCAACGAGATGATTCCGCTAGTCGCACGCACATGGGCATGGCGGTGCAGCTGCTGGCATCATCACAGCATAGAATAGAAACATCCCCGGGGACCAGTCGACCTCCCCCAACTCCACCACCATTCAACAGAATTATTGCCATTTCTGAAACCAAGAGCGCAGTTTCGACCAGCCCCTGCCCTTTTTGTTGGAGAAAGTGGAGCGTAATAAACCGGCCATTATCTCCGATACTCAAATTTTGTCTGAGCGCGTTCTAAGGTGTAATCACCAACAGAAACACGGTTTCGCGAAATAGTGGGAAGCTTTTCTGTTTTATATTTGTATACAGTCACTAAAAAAAAATCATTGCAGCGCTTGCAAAAAAAAAACCCCGTAGCGAACTTATATGATTTCCGGGAAGTATCAACCCTAAATACCGAAAGCCGCCCAACATTTTTGAAAACATATTGCAACCCACTTGACAAAAAAAAATTAAACCCGATCGGAAAGGGATGCGACTCGGGAGGCATCAACCCTAAAAACAATGCCCATTCCCGTGTTTAGGGTTGACCCCTCTCGAAAATGCATCCAGGTTCCCTAGGGGTTTCATTTTTTTCTGCCATGCCCGAATAGTTCTCGGTAGCGTCGTCTAGTGCTTTGGGTAGCTTTGTTTAGCGGTCGGTTGCGCTACCGAGCACTACCAAGTGAATTATATGGGCTTCATTCTCTTACTACCTAAATTTCCGTTCTTATATCCAATTCGGGAGGGTAAACTGGATGTTTCTGTTTTTGGCACATCCTAATGAGTTCGACCAGTGTGAGAAATGTGATTATAAAGCGACGACCAATCAACGTTGAGAAAGTCCAGTTTGATTACACCTGAGAACGCGCTCAGGCAAAATCTGAGTATCGGAGATAATGGCTGGTAATAAACACGCTCGAGGCACTTCTATTCGTCAAACCGCGCCGTGGCGCTCATTCAAAAATTTCCCTGGTCAGAATGTTCCCAACCTGTGCCAGCTTCAGCCAACCACCGACCGACGTTGCCTCGCCCATACGCCTCTCTCTTCCGCGTCCTGCTTTTTCTTCCGCACCCCTCTCACTTTTCCGCGCCCCGTTGGACATTCCGCGACGCCCTGCTCTTCTATTTGCGGGATGGCTTCAAAATCAGACAAATTCCTCCAGGCTGCCTCACCATTCTTGCCCCGTCAATTCCTCACCGTCCCTCAAGCTAATCAAGATAGCGAATCACCACTGCGGGGCCTGACAAATAATTCAAGTTCCTCCGTTCTCTCTAGTTCTGCTTACCTGCTGGCATCAACGAGCTCTTGCGAGTCCTCCCGAGCCTCGTATATCACTTCCTCATTTGCTCTTCAGATTCATTCTTCACATTCTTTCGCCAAGCTCTTGACAGCTTGAAGCCGAGACGCTTCGTGAGGCGAAGACACATCGCGACGCGGAGACATTACACTTTCCAAGAAGACATTATGGCTCCCCGATCATCGCACAACATGCGCGCACTCCTCGGTCTCCTCTCCGTCGCCGTCCCGGTTCTCGTCGCGCTCATCCCGACCGTCCACTCCCGCGGGCTGGCATCCTCGGTCTACGACAGCGCTTCACACGGCGGCGGAAGCGGCGGCGGAAGCGGCAGCATTCCCACCCACGTCATCATTTCGAGATTGAGAAGGGGCCTGTCGGCCGAGGTTCCACGCACGCCCCTCCACGTCGTTTTCCACGGCACGTGGGACGCTGCTGACGTGGCTCTCGTGGAAGATTTCATCAGCGAGTTGCCACCGCGAGGTTACGAATCGCTCGCTCAGCTGGGATCCGTAGCCGTCGATAACAACCACTACGGCGTCAACTCAGTTGAAGGTAACAATTGTAACCCCCTTATTGCACCAACGTCGCAAATTTCGTTTTCTCATACCTCGACTCTAATTTGAGTTCCCGTTTCCCTGCTTTCCGCTCCGTTCGATTTCTGTTTCTCAGCCATCCAGCACCAGATCGACATCGGCGCGCTTCCATTCGACAGCTCCGCGCTCTACCTGCTGGTTACCAGCGGCGACGTCGCAGTAACCATCGGCGGCGAAACCTTCTGCGGAGACTACTGCAGCAAGCAGTCGACTCTCAAGCTGCGCGGACCTGACGGGTCCGTCGGGGAAACCAAGTTCATCCACGCGGGCGACGTGTTTGCGCGCTGCCCGGTCCGCTGCACTTTCCGCGCCGCTCACGCAACGTAAGCTCTCCGCGGAGGCCCTCTTCCTTCTCGAGAAATCCATCCCCGCGCCTCCCCGACCCCCCTTCCTTCCCTCCCCTCTCTTCCTAACCCCTCTTCCCTGGCCCACCCCACACATATCCTCCTCTCCCACCTGCCTCAGCTTTCAGTTCTCCTTCCGATTTTGTCAATCTTCCCTCCCTACACATATTCTGACCTTGTACCATTTCCTCTTCGTTCCCCCGTTTCTGTCACTCCTGCAGTGAGCCTAACCCTCTCCGCCACCTGCTCCGCCACCTAGGCTCGGCAATTACCGAGTCTCTTCCCGGCCCTGATGCCGGGCCCATCATGGCATCCGAGTTCCCCGAGCTTGAGCCCCTGCCTCCAGCCACCGTCGCCGAGGCATCTGCTTCTGGTTCGGCAGCAGAGCAGGAGAACGCCACTGCCGCCCCCGCTACAACCGCCAAGATGTGTGCTGCGTTCCCAGCAGAGACCTTCATCCATGCCATTACGTACGGAAGCAACTCCTCAGGTGTTTCTTCAGGTGCTCTCGCAGGCGACATCACCACATGCGCAGCTGCTTCTGTGGGAGCCATGGTGGTGCCTCCAACTGTTGCTGGCCGGGCCAAGTAAGGATGAGTGCACAGGAGCGCTCTGTAACGTCGTTACAGGTGTTACACATACACCTTGACTCCGCTCTGTAAATACTTGCGGAGGCAGCAGACGGGTTGATTCCGGAGAGCAGCAAGGTGGAAATATAAAAACAGAGGGTAAGTGGAAGGCCTCAGCTGATTTGGAGACTTGACTAACGTTGAGTTGTTTAGCTCTTTAGCTTGTTTTTCTCCTTCAATAAGAAAGGTGTTAGCCCCCCCAGAGTAGACAATGAGATGTCAATGCCATTTTCTGAAGAAACGAAATCACTGTAAGCATTGTTGTAATCAAATATCAATGCACATTCTGTACAACAATACCACAGATAATAACACAGACAATTTGTTTTGTCATGCCAAACTTCCACCTGCTATGTTATTCTTGTTCAACACTCATTAAAACCCGGGTACAGCATGGTTATTTTCAAGTTCAACATTCTTGAATTTGAAATCGTCAAGATCAGTGTTCATAAGACGATAAACCTGAAATTACAGGGACCAGAATGTGACAAGTCTGAAATCACCCTGAAATCAGGGTAATTACCCTGATAAAATCAGCCATGTTCGGCAGGAGATTAAAAAAAAACCATCCGTAGTGAAACACCGTATCGCCATGTGACTGATAATTTAACCATCAGCTGTTTTTCGTTAACTTTTGAGAAAAAAACATGTGTAAATTATAATAATTGTGAAACTAAACGAGACACTAATATTGAAAAACGTCTCCCCCCACCAAAACCAGGTCGAGTCTCGACACCCCTCCCATGAGCAGTCCGTTCCCCCATTTCCTCCCCCCCTTCTCCCCCTTTTGTGCGGACGACCCGCGGTCACGAAATAGCCCCCACCCACCCCCCTCACTTGCTCCCTCCCCCTTTGCACAACCCTCGCTCTCGCCCCTGCGCCCCTAGGAGATCCTCCCACGCCACATGCACTCCCTCCAGCCAATCCGCCAATCCAGCTAGATTTCTCGCGTCAAACACGTCACTGTTTTTCTCGCCAAACTAGAAAGAAGAAAAAAATCAACCCTGATTTCAATTCGCCAACCCTGACAGCCCAGACTTACGATTTCGTGAACCCTGAACATCGCAAGAAGGCTCAGGCTTGGCGTTTTGCGGAAAATGTGCCTTCAGGGTAAATCTTTTTTTGGGGGATTGAAAACAGGGTACCCATATTTGAATCGTCAGCCCTGCTCTCGCTACTCTGGGACAACGCCTAGCGACACTCTCTCCTAATTGGCTGATGCCCACTATCGCAAAACAGATCCGAGCGTCGCTCAGGTTGGCCCGCTGTTTGGCTCACACATATCTTGATCGCCTAGTAGTACTCATGACCGGCCTAGGCTCTCACGTAAGTAGAAAGCGAGTGCGTCATCAGCTAGTACCACGTGACCACGATTTTTACGGCAACTTGTTAAAATCAGAAAGTGATCGTAACCAGGATCACCTCAGGAAGGTTCGCACAGTTCTAGTCTAGTGGTGGTGGGCCCTTGACCTCAATAGCAGAGTGAATGTAAATGCTTGAGATGATTAAAAACATGCAGTACAAGGAATATAAATATGGGTACAGGGGAATTCGAAACGACCTAGCTAGCCATGTACTCTAAGGGGTATATTCCCTTATTACAGCGAAATCCAACCGTGCGACTCCGAGTGGTTACGTAACTGTTCGGGCAGAATCCTCGCCACTGCTGCTACATGATGCTGTCTGCCCGACGGTCCAGATGCTTTTCGTAACCGTGTGACTCTTCGCGTCACTTGCGCCCTTTCATCTTCATTCCCGGTAGTGCGTGCTTTGGTTGCTGCGGAGAGGAGTGTACAGTAGTGTTTCGATAATCACTATTCGTAACACCCCCCTTCACTCCTAGCCGTAGCAGGTCTTGACCCGCTTGACTACTCCGCTGAGTTCGGAGCAGTGCTGGTACTGCTGTCGTGGCAGTTTCTTCGTGAGGAAGTCTGCTGCCATGTCACCCGTCGGGCAATAGGTTAGGTCAACCTTGCCCTTGTCAACTTCGTCTTTGACGAAGAAGTACCGCAGCGCAATGTGTTTGGTGCGGTTGACGAATCCTGGCTTGTTCGCGATCCTGATCGCGCTCTGGTTGTCACAGTGCACGCGAAAACTTGTTTCGCCTCCTGCAGCAGCTCCTGAAGGTAGAGGCCTTCGCGAACTGCTGCTGTCGCTGCGATGAACTCGGCCTCTGCTGATAACAGGGCAACCAACTCTTGCTTCTGCGAGTTCCAAGAGATGGGCCCGCTGGGCTCGAGGCGGAAAATAAAGCCTGTCCTGGACCGTCGATTGTCAGGGTCGGCAGCGTGATCGGCGTCCACGTAGCCGATGAGGTTGAAGGATGAAGTTGGAATGGTGGAGTAGCAGAGCCCGACGCTGGGCGTGGAAACGAAGAATTGAAGAGCTCGCTGAAGATCTGAGAGATTCTCAGCCGTTGGTTTGCGTGAGTACTGAGCCAACTGGCTCGCGATGTAGGAGAGGTCGGGCCTGCAGGTGACAGATGCAAAGAGCAGGCATCCCAACTGCTGCTGGTAAGTGTGAAGCCCAGCAGGGGACAGGGCTTTGTTGTCAGGCTTGTGGTTGGGTCCTGGAGTGCGGTAAGGGGTGGAGAGTGGTGCAGGCGCAATGTTGAAGCGCTTGCTAAGCTCCTCCGCATACTTCGCTGCTGAGAGATGAATGGCTTCCGGCGAGTAGGTGATGTTGAGTCCGAGAAACTGGTTCACGTCATGATTGCAGGTGATGTCGACGCGCCCTGCGAGGCTTTTCTCAAACTGCTCGAGCAGTTCATTGCTTGAGCCCGTGTAGAGAAGGTCGTCGACGTAGACCGTGAGGAGGATGTATTCGCCGCCGAAATCGCGGCGATACATTCCAGGATCGTGAGGCAGCTGCTTGAACCCGATTTCAAGCAGTATGTTGTGCAGGTACTGCTGCCAGAGTCTTGGTGCCTGTTTGATCCCATAGAGGGACTTGTGTAGCTGACAGACGCGTGGGTCTCCGTCGCCGTAAGTGTGTGGCTGTTCCACGTAGATCACGGCGTCCACTAACGCGTACAGGAACGCATTCTTCACATCGATCTGCCGGAGTGGTAGGTGTCGTGCGGCTGCGATGGCGAGGAGAATTCTGACGGACGTGTGACGGCTGACCGGTGCAAATGTCTGGTCAAAATCAATCCCGTACCTTTGATCGTAGCCGCGCACCACCCAGCGTGCCTTGAATCGCTCAATCCTTCCGTCGGCTCCTGTCTTCACTCAGAAGATCCATTTGCCGGAGAGAATCCTTCTCCCCTTTACTGCTGCACGGTCGACGAGCACCCAGGTGTCGCGTGACTCGAGTGCCCGGATTTCCGCATCCATTGCTTCGCGCCACTCCTTGCTGTGTGGGCCTGTGAGAGCTTGCCGTGGGTTCTTAGGTTCGATGATGCGCGGAGCAGTGGAGATTGTAGCGTGTAGTCCAAGTAGCTGGAGACCAGTGACAGTGCTGTCGTGGCGATGTTGAGTGACGACTTCCTGCACGTCGTCATCATCGCTTTCTGGTTCAGGCGGTGCTGGCGGTGCTGTGTCTCCGCCGCTTCTGCTTCCTCCTGCTGCGCCTCCTCCTGTTGCGCCTGTTCCTCCTTCACCTGAATCATCGTCGTCGTCGTCGTCGTCGCGGCGATTGCCCCTCGTGAACTCGCCTCTGGGATCCTGCTCCAGAATTGCTGGTGCTGCTTCGTCCTCAGGTGAGGCGTAGCTGTGGCCCTCGTTGGCGTAGACGCGGTTTGCGTTCGTCTGCTCGCCGTCACGAAATTGTTGCAGAAACAGTCGCTCGTAGAAGATGACATCGCGCGCATTCTTGATTTTCTGGCTTAGGAGATCCAGGATGATCCACGCCTTGTGTTCGTGGCTGATACCGAGATGGATTCCCCAGCGCGCGCGGCTTTTGAACTTCCCGATGGTTGATGTTGGCGGTCGGTATTGAACCATGCAGCCCCAGACGCGGAGCATGGAGGTGTCCCCCTTTCTTCCCGTCCATTTCACGTGCGGCGAGGAGTTGCCGGTGATTGCGGTGGTTGACAGCAGGTTGTGCGCCCGCACGACGTGGTGCATCGCGTAGGTCCAGTAGATCGGCGGGAGCTTTGCCTGCCGCATTAGCGCCCGTACCTTCGTCATGAGAGTGCGATTCGTGCGCTCCGCTACGCCCTGCTGCTGGTGCGCGTAGGGGAGGGAGATGTGATGCTCGATCCCCTTTTGCGCGAGGTAATCCTGCAGTTCCTTGCTCCTGAACTCCGCCGCACCATCGGACTGCCAGATCTTCAATTTCTCCCCAGATTGCCGCTGCGCGTGCGCCAGCCACAGACGGAATGCTTCGTAGGCTCTGCTACGTGCTTCCACGTTTACGACCCACACGTGGCGCGTTCCGGCGTCGACGAAGGTGAGTGTGTAGAGTTCGTCGTTGATGCCGCAGTGACCTACGTTGAGAAAGTCACAGTAAACCTTCTCAAGCTTGGCGTAGCGATTGGTTCCTGGCTCGAGTAGGGGGAAGGGCTGGTGACTCAGCGCAGCTTCGGGGCAGACAGTGCAGCTGCGCGGGTGAGTCCCTCCTCTCACTTCGGAGCCGTCAGGGCGCAACAGCGCGCCAGGTGCAAAGACGCCGGCTTCGATGCAGTTCTTCAGGGTCACGCGCGAAGGGTGACCTAGGCGCTGATGCCAGATGGCGTCGTCGGCGCGGAATCCAGATGTGCGCATGTAGCGCTCCAGTGCGGCTGCGGGGTCTTCGTCAGGTGCCGGTGCAGGTGTAGGCGCTGTTCCCTCGTTCTCTTCTTCTTCCTCGTTCGCCGTCGTTAGCATGAGGGCGAGAAATTCTCTGTCGCGGATGATGGAGTAGGGGATGTTGGTTCCGGGGATCGTGCCAAGTACGAACGTCGGTTCGCGCGGTTCAGGGGCAGGTCCGTAGACAGTGCGTCGCGCGGTGAGTGGTTCACTTCCCCAGTCAATGGTGTCCCAGGGGTCACTACCTGAAGGGATGTCAGGCGGCGGTGGTCCTAACGCAGGGCGGCGCGGAGGGCGTCCGAGAGGAACAACAGGAGGTTCGACCTCAGCATGCGCAGGTTCTTCTGCCTCTTCCCCCCTTTGATCCTCGCGGAAAGCTCCCCAGCCGCTCGTCTCGCCGCCTTGTGCGGCGCCCCATCCGCCGATGTTTGCGCCTGTTGTTGCGCCCCATCCGCCGGTTGCGACGCCCCAGCTGCTGGTGTCGCTCGTTCCCCATCCGCCGGCGCTCCCCCACCCCCCTTCATTGGAGGCGCTTTCTTCGTCCTGCTCCCAGGCGAGCGTTCCGCGTGCCTCGGCGAGGCTCTTCCGCCGAAGTTCTTCGGCTTCTTGTTGCGACAATGCCTCTTCTTCTGTCGGCGAGAGCTTCTTCTTTGAATTGCGCCGGTGAGAGTAGATCTCTGCCGCCTTTTCCGCTGTGTAGGGACGTGGATTGCCATGCGCATCGAAGGTGCCGACTCCGACGCCGCGGAGCATTCCTTGGAGATGCTGAGACGCGGGTCTGGGGAGGGGATGTTCCGGAGTGCCGAAAACAACCCGTGTTGCTGTTTCCAGCTCCAGTTGGGAGAGTCCCTCTTCAGGCGGCGCGTCGCGTTCTGCTTCGCGGATGGCGGCGAGGCCGCGGCCAGCGATTGCGCTGTGGCAGTCTTTGCAGATGCCGTCAGGGTCGGGGTCGTGCAGCGCCAGTTCGCGCGGGTGTGGGTGGTGTGGCACCCAGGGGCGCCCATCAGGGTGCTTCCAATCGCGACGAAGGATGTGTTCGAATCGCAGAGGGACGAGGTCGATTAACTCCTGCGAGTCGCCGCTGCAGTCGGGAATGTCGAAGTCGAGAACGTATACGCCGTTCTCGGCGCGCGCCCGTCCGATCTGCTTGCGCTTCT